TCCCCTAGCCACCGTTTCTTCGATATGTTATATATGGCTGATACCGTTCTCTGTTCGGCCTTGTATCCCTATGGATGTCCCTCGGGGCTTTAACTGCCAACCTGTTTGGATGTACTGAACTGGAAGGGGCTCCTAATTGGTCGTCATCGACCCCGATCTTCGATTGATATCGATTGTGCACATCTGCCCAAGTGACAGCTGGATACTCGACCAAATTTTGCTTCAACTATCGTGATGCTATCGAACTCCGCTCGTTCAACCCTTGGGTGAATGCTTGAACGGCCCAATCATCTGTGACCGATGATAACTCCATGCGTTCCATTTGAAATCGGGATATGAACTCCCTCAATATTTCGTTATTCCTTTGTCATATCTTGAAAACGTCTGATTTTCTTGTTGCGACCTTTATGGCCCCGGCGTGTGCCTTCACAAAATAATCTGCTAACATGCCAAATGAGTCGATGGAATTCGGTGGCAATTTGTGATACCAAATCATTGCTCCATTTGATAGAGTTTCCCCAAATGTTTTCAACAAAACAGACTCGATCTCATCGTTTTCTAAGTCATTTCCCTTTATCCCGCATGTGTACGAAGTATATGTTCATTAGGATCGGTGGTCCCGTTGTATTTAGGTATATACAGCATATGAAATTTCTTAGAATTAGGCTTCAGAGCCGCACTCTGAGGAAAAGGCTTCTACACGAACTTTTATGAATCCAAACCCTTTAAGATCGGGGGTGCCCCCGGTATTTGATCGACTCGGGAGTTGTATGTTTCTACTTTTTTGTCATTATCTTCGATTTTCTTTTCTCTCGACTCAATTCTTTTGGGGAGCTCCTTGAGCATTTTTATAATTATAGGATCAGTTCCTGATCCATTACCAGTCGACCTTTCCAGCACTGGCTCGGTACGGCGAGTGATTTCTGCCTCGACCACACTCTGAGTTCTATGTTGTCTCTGAAGGTGAGCAATAGCGGCCTACTGAGTCTGTAGCATCTCGAATATTACCTGGAGACTAACTCCCCCGTCTCCTACGCCCTGTGTTCCTTGGCCACCAGGCCTTCCCCGGCGCATATTCCCTTCGGGGTCCGCACCTAAATCCGCATTCAAAGCATGTGCGAACTGATATCGACGATCGGTACTCCCCCGAGATTAGCCGGTGGCACCCCGGCTCCTAGAGCAATTACGTTATCGTTTTCCCCGTGAAATCCAAGACCATCATCACCATGCACGGGTGCATTTTGTGAGTTTGACATGTTTTAACCTGAGAACAAAAATTCTTGACAAGAACAAGTGTCAAAATAACACGTGTTATCAGAATCAACACTGAAACAATCACTATTATTCTTAGTCCCACGGTGGGCGCCAAACTGTTTACCCTAAAATCCGAGTAGCAATTAAATTTATATTGTGATTTTAAGGATATGTGATTTAATCCAATACCAATTGGTAAACTAGGAATTAAATATATAAATTGGAGAATAAAATAAGTCAAACCAGTGTGCAAGTCAAGTCTCGACCTCGAGATATGACAGTCTCGAGGTGGAACAGTGGGAATAGCAAGTTACAAAGCAACTCTGATGAACAACAAGTAGAATAGCTAGAGAATAAAGTGCATGTATTTTACTAACAATCAAAACGTGTCGTACAAATGAATGGGCTCCCTTTTATATAATAGGGGAGTTCTAAATAAGGTACATTTCTAATTACAATAGGAAATCATATTTGACAGCTGTCTAACCGCCAAGGGTCACTCCATTCTGCAATTTAAGCCGTGATCTTTAGGTCGTTGCGGGTATCTCACTCTTTCTGATACCGAATTATAACCGTATTATCTCGAGGTATGCCTCCTTCCACCTTGGCAACTGATTTCGACCTCGACCTCAATATTGGAATGGAGCTTCGACCTCGAGCTCCGCGTCTTGGCCTCTCGACGTGGTACCACCTTTTCCATCAGAGAACGAAATCGGGTAGCCCCGATTTTCAGCGCATACAAACATTTTTCATGAATATGAAATGTTTCGTCAGTCAAGGACTAAAGTAATTCGTAGCTCTGTGGAACAGAGTCTGTTCCAAAGAAATGTTTGGAGCTCGCTGAGTCATTGGCCCAATCTGATATTTCTGAGATATCACACTTTTTCAACAATCTATTTGATCCAATAGTATGTGCAGAATCTCACCTCGGAGCCCAAAAAGATTTATATCAAGACATGTGATTTATTGTGGAAATGACACCAGGTAGCAGGTTTAAAAGTGTCCCATCTCTTCACCCCGATTTATTACTTCTATGTTTTCAGTTTCACTGTGAATTCATATCCGGATAATTTAATAGGCATTTTTTATTTGCAAATATGAAAATAATATCTCTATCTCTTACTCTACTTGTGAGATTTCACTAGATATTTTATTATTATATGAAAATTACATCTCAGGCGTCAAGAAACAAATGTAATTAGCATTTTAAAAAAGAAATCGCACCTTTACTATTAACAATACAAGTACAATTAATATTTTCACTTGGGAACTATATCTTTTTGTGTGTTAAAAATAAATTTGCACAAATAAAATAACATCTTCAAAAGGGAATTTCACCAATCAGAATAAGAAAAATAAAAAATGTATATCTCCAATAGATGCAGAATTAAATAAACTACAAAATCCCAAAAATTAAAATGATAAATCTCATATTTTTCTAGACAATACTTGCAACATATTCATCATAATTTAATAGTAAAGAGATTTAAGTTGTATTTAACAATTATAGAATAGCATGATTTTTTATGTTATAATTAAAAAAATATAAAAATTAAATTTGTTCTCAATCCAAAATTCCTATCAAGACCCAAGTTTTTGATTTTAAAAGGATAGACATTAAATGTACTTATACTCTTAATCTTGATATAATTATTATTAGATGTTTACAGAATTATTGTTTTGATTTATTAAGAGGCGAGATTCTTTCGTGGGTCAATATGACTGATAAATTGGATAATAATAATGTACATTGGCGAAGTAATAGTTAGTTGATGGAATCCATGTCTTGGTTTAGAGATTTATGATACACCTTTATGAAAGCTTATAAGTTTTCATGTGTAAACCCGGCCGGTGGATTTTGTATCCGACACATGAAATAAGTTAAGCGAAAGTGTAAAGGAAATAATCAATAAATTAAATCGTCAGTAATTTAATTTAATTGATTAGTATCTGAATCTTAACGTGGGGAGTTAAATAAGATCTAATGGATGAATTTCGAAATAGAATAAGGAGTGCAATTACGAATTTTTAGTGGAATATTTCGTAATTAATTATGGTAGATATTAATTTCGAAAAATAGAAATTAATTCCATAATTGGAGCCTTGTTAATTAAATTCGGTGGTCCATGTTGTGCCTAAATAATAGGAAATAAAGGAATCATTTTTCTGATGGAAAAGAAAACCTAACCCTTAAAACTTGTGCTATAAATACATAAGGTTTTCACCCTAGAGGGGGAAGTCATAGTGGCCGAATTTTTCAGCCCTTTTTCCAAGAAAATTTCGCCCTCACGAAATTACTATTTCCGGGTATTATTTGGGTAACACAGTAGAAGACCGTGGAACGTTCGGAGATCGTGATCATGCGGGTGATGGAGATTTCATCGAATTGCTGTGGAATTAGAGGCTCACGTGATAAAGAAGCTTTGTTCACGCTTCAAGAGATAACCCGTGAAATCCCGTTTATGCTAGTTGTCTAGATTACATGTGATTTTGCTACTGAAATTGCTTCCGCTGCATATAATAATCCATCACATACCACCCCCACCTTAAAGGGTGGATCCGCTACTGATATACATAATTTATCTTCACTGATGATTATCTACAAAAGTTTATGTCCTATGTACTAACAAGTGTGAAAGATACAGTACGTCGAATATAATGATGTGTAAAAACTTTTTACACTATCAGAAATCCTATCTGAAGTTTTAAATGTATACACTAATGGTGCAAAACATATTTGCACTAGATTACGTTCGAGAAGACTTTGCTGATTACTGAAAACTTAATTTTTTATTATCAAACGGCTTTCTTTAGTAATCCATTCTGCAAGTGAATATGATGTCAGCTATATATGTTGAAGTTGGCCCATCAAGAACCAGCCCAGAAACACAAAAAAAGACCAGTACCAAGACTTGTAAGGTCCCCCATATTGTTTGACTCTCCTTTGAACTCTTGTTATCATCTGCATTTCTGGAATTTCTTATGCACAATAATGTACTTTCTACATCCCAAGGGAATGGTTGATAAAGTGTTACATGATGGACAGCATTCTACATCTCTATTGTGTATGAACTGGATCTGTTTAATAAGTATTGTAGAAGATGGTAAATGAAGAATTCAAGAGATCCAAAGTCTTCTCATCTGGATTAGCAAAGCAAGGGTGTCCAACGAAGTACAGCTTCCTGCTCTTTGGTATGCTTCTCCTTGTTGTCAAATACAGTCAGGATTGCTATATTATTTTGGAAGGTATGGAAGATCCTCAATGAAGCAATAGTATTTTTGGAAACACAATCTTGAGTCTCAACAGTACAACCATTGCTGCAGAGATGGTGACATCCAAACAAAGAGAAGCTAGCTACCCAACATTTTCTTTATAACGGCGCGGAGTGCTTCTTGTACCAGGCAGCCCTTTATAATATTATATGCTAGCTATGTTGCTCCCATTTAGGATTAGTAGTTCATAATGTAAGATAATGGCGTTCATAGTTTATTTTGTGATTCATGTCATTTTAATCATATCAAAAGGTAAGTCCTCTGCTAAGATCATTAGTGTGTTCCTTAAAATGCTCTAAGAAAATACTCATCTACTACACTTAACTATAGAGTAATCAGCTTTCAATATGAATTGGCACACTAAAGTTCAAGATCCTTAAAGATCTCAGTGCTCTCAGTGCTATAGCAACCCCTCTATAAAATATAAAATGATCACACTAAAATGTGTTGAACAAAATTATTCACAGCCAAAATTTGTCAATAAAGGTAGAAACTTTCTCTTTTTCTTCAACTTGACAAAGGTATAAACAATTGTACAATCCACAAAGGACGTTGACTCAAATGTTACAGTTTCATGTTCAGATTTTCTGAATCAAAATTTTTTTAAAAAAAAAAGAACAAATTTTTCCATATTTGAAGAAAAAATAGAAAAAAAAAACATTAACCTGGCAATACTATTCTGGTTGAAGTAGTATTCATATTCACATCTGAATAAGCCCCTGATGCCACTTCTGCATCCAATCCAGCAGCCCATCTCCTTAGAACTCGCAACAAAGTTGCTGCTTTTCTTCTAGCCCTTCCTGTTCCCATTCCCATTATTTCCCAAATCACCCTCTCAATCCCTTGAACCGCCGCCAGCTCTGCCACCATATCCGATCCCCCTTTCCGGCACATGTTCACTAGTGTCGCGGCTGCGCTTTCTCTAGCTCTATCCGTGCCATCCCTTAATACTATGGCCAGTTTTTTAATCAACGGATACGCGGCCGCTACAGCCACCAACCCACCCTTCTTCACCACCACTTCAAGAATCGCCACTGCCTCTTCCATTAGTCCATCCATAATCTCTGCCACCATTTCCACCACCCCGCCTTCAATCAACTTTCCAACTGCCTCCCTATCTCCCGCCAAGTTCAAAATTGCCACTAAGGCGTCCCTCTTTGAATTCGTGGGCCCCCCACGTGCCAAATCCATCAGTCCCTTCACGACACGTGTCTTCCGAGCCAATCTCTTCTTGTAAGCAGGTACACCTGTCAAGCTAAATATGGTTGCTGCCGCGTTTCCCTTTGCCTCCCACGTGCCACCTGATCGTAACACTTCAATAACTCCGTTTAAAACTCCGTCCGTTTCCATTATCCTCGTCTTGTTCGCTTCAAGAATTGACAGATTGAGGATTGTTGTAACGGCGTTAACTTGTAGGCTCGGATGCTCCAAACCTAAGAGCTTAACCAATAACGGCAAAGCTGAAGCTTCCGCAATGCAGGCCCGGCTATCCGAGTCCGCCTTGGCTAAGACGCGAAGCTCATGAACAAGCCGATTAGCCGTTTCAACAGATTGCGACGTCTTCAGCTTGTTGATCAAAAATGACACTGTCATCTTCGTGGCTTCCAATGCCGTTTTGTTGGTAACAATACCGGTAGATTTAACGTTCAATTCCGTTGACTCAAACGGAATTTTCTGTTCTCTGCACCACATAGCTATCAAATTCTTCAACGCTGAATTTGGTGTTAATTCCGTGTGGGTCAGTGTTTGACCCGTTTTAGGACACGTGGTATGACCCGATTCGAACCAAAGGGTTATTGAACTGCGGTCGTATGTTTGTCCCGTGGAGACCACCACAGGGTCTCTCATCAAGTCAAGCGAAATCGGACACCGGAAATCCGCCGGAACACTAACATCCGCCGCCGCCCGCCGCCGGCGGGAATTGGTTCTCGGCGTGGAACCACCGTACAACACGCATTTAGCGTAGCGTACAAATCCGATCAACGCGATGATATCAGATTTGGACTTTTCGTCCGTTTGGCTTTGAATTTCCTCTTCCAATAACTCAATTTCATCCCTGCAACTCATAGAATCACGCAAAGTCAATTTATCGAAAATCTCCGCCAATTTAGATTGATCAGGAACGATTTCTCGTTCTATCCTGTCGAGCATTTCAACAATTTGAGATCGCAAATCTTGATCCTTTGGATCAACATAAGCAGAATTGTCCGAGCACTGCTTCGTAATTAGAATCAGTAATTCCTGAACGTCGTCGTTCAGTTTCAGCTTTTTAGCAGGAAGAATATCCAGTAAAATGGCGAGCTCAAGCGTAAGTTCATGAAAAGCATTAGAAAACACCTCAATTTGCATAAGTAGCCACATCTTACTACAATTACGGCAATCTTCAAGCAGAGTTTTGATTCGCTGTAAAACTATATACAATTCGTCGAAGCATAACGCCGCCGACGGTGGAAATCCGGTTACATATCGTGATGTAGTGGGATCGTTTGAACTGCTACAATCTCTACCGCTTATTTCCTCGAATAAAATTGATAAAAGCTTTGATTTCCTGATTATAGAGGAAGTGTTTTTTTTCAAGAGAAATAGTAAAGGTTGTAGAGTTGAGATTTCTGATGATAAGAGGAGAAGTGATCGGAGGAGATTGTGATCGGAGAGATTCGGGGCGACGAAGGAGTTCGCCGACGGCCGCCGTTTTCTTGGCGGGAAAGATTCTTCAGGTGAAACTGCCATATTCTATTGATTTTTGTACCTGAATTCTGAACGAATAAAATGTTGAATTGAATCGTATATTAGATGAAATCAAAAGTTGAACAAATCAAAGAATGAATGAAGAATTTTGTTAATGGGAAGAGAAGACTTTTTCTTGGAATAGTGATAAGGCATTGGATGAGTTGTAATGGGGACCGACTGTTTCGTCCAACTTGCTCTGCCTTTTCTAGGCATTTCAATTCTTACGTCTAACATATTTTATTTACTTATATTAATACGTTTTAGTTGTATGGGTTGATACCTATAAACTACTATAATTAGATAATTAACTTTGTTTAAAGTTAATCATACTTTTTTTTTGGCAAGAGGGGAAACCTCAACCGCTACTATCTCTGCCACATCCTCTGTCTTTTGGGGGAGCACTCTGTCGTGAGCACTTTGTGTGCACTAGGTAAACCTTTCTCTGTGTAATAGCCTGCAAACCATACGGGGATGTAAACTGCACTAGACAAGCCCTGTACAACAAGCTCTACCCAGAAGACATTGAGGGGGAATTGGATCCTAGGCCATCCGTATGGATTACTACCCTCCAAACCAACTGGGCAACCCCCGAAGTGTAAGTTAAACATACTTAAGAAGTTGAAATTGTATAATTTGGTTGTAACCCTTTAATTATTACTCCCTTCGTTCCAATTTATGTAAACATATTTGACTGTGCACGAAGTTTAAGAAAAAATGAAGACTTTTAGAATTTGTGGTCCTAAACAAGTCAAAAGGGCCCAGAGTATTTGTGTGGTTATAAAAGTTTCTCATTAAGGATAAAATTGTAAGTTTAAGCTAAATTGTTACCAAATTTAGAAATGGGTCATTTTTTTTAATAGGTTCACATAAACTGGAACAGAGGGAGTACTATCATATTTTCTAGGTTATCAACTCATATTTAGGGGTCGTTTGATATGAGGTATAAGTAAATATAGTTCTGGTTAAAAATTTAATAGCACCTTAATACTTTGTTTGATTAGTGAACCTGGTATAAGTTATCCCTAGATTAAAATTAGTATTGGAATAACTTATACCTTGTAGAGGGTGGGGTAATTAGTTCCGTGACAACTTATACCTCATTCTTAAAAATTATGCAATTGTCATTTTTAATACAACATACTAAACAGTATATAAAAAATAATACCAGAATAACTAATACCAGCATAACTAATCACATTATAACTTATCCAGTATAAACCGTATTCAAACCAAACCCCCCTTAGTGTATTCATGTTTGAATTCATAAGCAAGTATACTAAAGAATGATCCATAGTATAGGAATAAGGAGAGTTTTAGATTATAAGAATTCAGTTGTGATAAGTTAATTACCACATCATCTTTCTAGGTTATCATCTCACATTTAGTGTATAAATTTAATCCATAAGTATATAGTCCAAGAATGAAAAGAACTAGTTTAAAATTATAGGAATTTAGTTGTGACACGTTAAATACTATCCTTTTTCTAGGTTATCAAATTCCGTTTAGTGTACACAAATTAAATACATATGCAAGCATCTAAACTAACAAATGGTTAATAATTTTGGAACGATTAAAGTTGGTGTGTTAAAATTTGATGAATAAAAAAAAATATCGTTAGTACGAGAAATTTAATACTACATTAGTTAATAGATACAAAGATAAAAACTCAACTACTCTAATATCAAAATTTTGGTTGGTTAGGAGATAGGCATCAACTTGTATGCATATATATATATGTTTGTTCAAAAGTCCAATTAATATTTAAATTAAAATCAAATGTTCCTCAGGATTCTCCATGCTTGATATGTGCAACTTGGCTTTTCTTTGATTGGGGAAGAAGTTTAGTTTCACCGCTTAAATGTTACTTAACAAGTTTGACAGGTGAAATTTCAGTTCTTACATTTTTCATGTTCTTTTTTTTTCCTTTTTTCTTTTTGAGGCGTTATTCGCTTTCATATCTTCAATTTGCCATTGTCATTTTTTTATTTTTTTTTGGCCCTTCAATTTAACGCGAATTTTTTTAGAAGCCTTTAAGCTTAGTGAAATTAATACTTCATAAATGCACTTTTTTACTTGGAAATTTTTGGGTGAAAACTCAAGTTGGAAGCATTAGACAATTTTGGTTTCCTCGCTTTCCCAAGCATTTGACTTTTTTTGGTTTCCCACCCGGTATCCGGTATCCGCATCAGAGTCCGACTATATTTGGATTCGCGCCGCGTAGAGCCCCATTTGGAGGGAAACGCTCCCTACCAAGAATTTTTTCCATACCCACGGCTCGAACTCGAGATCTCTGATTAAGGGAGGAGCAGTCACATCCACTGCACCACATCCTTTGGTGGTAAGCATTTGACTTATTAAATAGTGGAAATTTGGGAGAAATTAAAAAATAGCTAGATTTACAAGTGTACATTCAAAAATAGTCACAGTTTCAAAAGTAATCAAAATTTAGCCACTTTTCATGTAAAGATAATTTTGAACGAAAACACTGTTCAAAACCCGAAAAAATACTCCAGTATATTATACTGGATGTGTTGGAGTTCCAACGAAGTTTATACATAGGTGCACCAATCTCCAGTATATTATGCTGGAACTTTCCGTGTTGCAGCAAAATAATGGCTATTTTTCAATGATTTTGCAAACGCTGGCTATTTTTGAATGACCAGTCCGAAAACTGGCTAGCCCGTGCTATATTTACTCTAAATTTAGATACACTAAAATGATTGTTTCGTGGTATTATTTCAATACAAAAATTACTTAAATTTTAGACAAAATTGGATGGATCTTACATCATGAGTGCATTTTGCTCCATACCCTCTCCAGGAAAAAGAGAAGAAATTGAGGAGGAGGGTGAGAGAATCAAATTGATAAAATGTATTTTATCGGTCAATAATTTAATTTTCTAAATGGAAATTTTGTTATTGGCGTACTGAATCACAATTTAATTTATAGAAAATTAAGAAGTTGATACAAAATAAATAGATGATGAGCTGTTGGGCATAAGTAGCTAACGACTTGCTTTTATATTTTTCTTTTTGCCACCTTTAATACAAAAATAAAATAAAATAAAATTAAAGCTTGGTGACGATAGGATATGAATTATTAGGATATGTATAAAATAAAGGTAAAAGACAACCAGGTCTTCTTGTACATCTTTGCGTGTGACCTTTTTTGTATTTGTTAATTATATCCTCTTTCCCTTTCTTTAAGCTTCTCTTTTTGTTCTTTTCTAGTATTGGACCATTTCGTGGTAGGAGCAAATGCATCTCTTATACGCTTTCTGACGGTGCCATTACTTCATAATTCACAACCGCCAAACTCCTACCCATCAATTTTTTAGTTTTTCATTCGTGTTCGTTTTACACCTCAACTATTTTGCATCGCATAAGGTATATTAAAAAAAATATTTATTATTAAAAAACTTTTTTATTCTCAACTCGAAACTGAAACCTCAAACTTAAAAGTAGAGAGATCCTATTTCATTCACTACAATCCTTAAAGATACTCTATCATCCATCTTCTTCATTTCCTTAATGAAAAAATATAGGTTGGTGGTTTAGAACAAAATCAATTTCACATATAATTAGGCGTGAAGACATATGAGCATCTAATAACTTAAAAAAAATACATGATGTGGAGTAGGCAAAACCTTTGTTAATCCTTTAATTCAATATTCTCCCACCAAGAGGTAATCGGGAACCTTATTTGATTAGAACTCGCACTCTATCGCTTGTCGTACAAACTTTTCGTTCCTTTTTTGCCTATTTTTTTGGGTTTTTATTTGAGGTGTGGATGAAATATGAAGGAAAATAAAATATTTGAAATGATTCCTTTTACAAAGAAACTTTGTTCCTTATTGGAAAGGAATAGGAACATTGTTGTGCTTATATATAGAATTACTTTTTCAAGTTTCAAAAGAGTTGAGAAGGAAGCAAGTCTTACGTCGTTATCGTCGTAGCTCGCTCGACTTTGGATATGGATTTGATTGATTGGTTAACATATTTCTTGGACCAAATTTATTTATCCTTTTTTCGTTATTAGTTTTTTTCTGATATTTTTTCTCGCAGAATTTTAACTTAAAAAATTTCGATTTCTTTTTCCAACCATAATTTGCGACCAAATAGCATTTAACGGAATTCAATTATTTCTTCCATGTAAGAGACACCTTTTCCATGAACAAGCATCTTTGCACCTGTTGAGGCTCCAACACGTTGGCTATAAAATCAGAGGCTTTGCCCATTTTTAGTATCGAAAATTAGAAAACACTTTCCTCTCTTCTTTGTATTTCTGCATAGTTTTCAAAAGCAAAATATAAGTGCCAGTGTGTGATTTGCTCAGCCATTTAAGTTCTCAGAAGTTTTATAATTTGCATTACCGCTATTATAGAATAATTTTCCGCTCTATTTTGGGAGAAACTAATCCAAATATCTCGAACAACATTGAGGGGATTAAATTTCTTAAAGACACACAAGAAAATTATGGGATTGAAATATTTTGTATTTTATACATTGTGTTAATAAATGTGTTTATTCTCTGGATTATTATTTATGAACACCGTTTTTTTCACAAGCTTAAAATTTAATTATATTTTTGTGTTCATTTTATATTCTACCTGTGGGAGATTAAATTTTAGTAATTTTTACTCCCATTTTGGAGAATACAATTTTTGAAATTTTAGTCCTTTATTGAGATTAAAATTTTCTTGACTTTCAACTCATTCTTTGAGATTAAAATCTTTGTGATTATTTACTCAAATTCAAGATTAAAATTCTTGTGATTTTTTTACTTGGTTGTTTGTATTTGATTTGAAGAGTAAAAGCTTCACCGATTTACTAAATTTATTTGTGTTAATTTTTACAAAAACTAACAACAAGTACTGAACAAAAAAATGATTCTGTTGTGAAAGCTACCGCTGTGATGGTTACTGCATTGTCAAGTTGTACATTCACCAGTAGAAAGCCAAAAAAAATTTCGGCTACCGACTTCAAGTGGTGGCAGCAGAAGATGTTCTTCTATCTAACTACTCTCAGTTTGCAGCGACTTATCAAAGAGGATGTTCCAGTTTTCGCAGAAGAAACTCCAGACAATGAGCGTTTTATGGTCACTGAAACTTAGAAGTATTCCAATTTCTTTTGCAAGAATTATATACTAGTTGTTTTGAGGATAACTTGTATAGAATCTTGGAAACTTCAAATGGGTTGTAGATGCTCT